AACCAACCAACCTCCTTTCCTTTCTTTTTCTCTTCACCCCTCCCTGCCTACTTCAGGATATGGTTTCTCTGTGTAGTCCTGGCTGAACTGGAACTCACTCTGTAGCCTGGCCTCAAACACAGAGATCTGCTTGCCTCTGGGACCAAAGATGTAAGCCACCATTCCTGTGCATGGCAGGAGTTTTCATTTTATAACATAATTCACAAAAATGACTTCTTAGCTGCTTCTCTATTTACTTAGGTAGTTCTTGTGTAGTAAGATTTTGTTACACTTAAAAGTAATAATTTACTGACAATGTAATTAATCTATTTAGTATTATAGTTCAGTCATTTTAATACATTTATTTACATATTATTTACAAGTGCAGCTGTTGTTACAGAAGTGGCACAGACCATCTTTGTCACCTTTGTCATAAAGAAATTCCATGCCCTTTAACTATTTTTTTCCTTACTTCTCTGCCCTAAATAAGTGAAATCTAAGAATATATGGTCTTTAATGGCTATAAACCTATCTAGTATACACTTCTATAATGAAATAAATGTTTACAACTCTGTATAGTACAGATAGCCAATCCATTATCAGAGAGAGGATTTACATGTAAGTTCTCCCATTCTGTAAGTTGTTTCTTCTCCTCCACTTCCTATTTTCTTAATTGATTAGATACAGTCTTGCTATAGAGCCAGACTGGCCTTGAATTCCATTCTCCTGCCTCAGGATCTTTTTTTGTTTTTTAAAGATTTATTTATTTAATTTATGTATATGAATCCACTGTCACTGTCTTCAGACACACCAGCAGAGGGCATCAGGTCCCATTTACAGATGGTTGTGAGCCACTATGTGGTTGCTGGGAATTAAACTCAGGACCTGTGGAAGAGCAGTCAGTGCTCTTAACCACTGAGCCATCTCTCCAGCCCCGTGCCTCAGCATCTTGACACTACAGATATGTATCATTCTTTTTTCACTTTCTTGGTGTGTGTGTATGTGTTTTGAGTTGCATATGTTGTGTATGTTGTGTGTTTTGAATGACCTGGTCCAGGTCCTCTTCAGTGATAGGATCTTTACCACTGCACCACATCCTTAGCTTTCTTTTCATTTTGCTTCCTTTTTGACGAAGTTTTACTTTGTAACTTGGGTTGGCCTGGAACTCACCTAGGCTAGCCTCAAGCTTGAACTCCTCTTGTCTCAGCCTAATTGCTAGGATGACAGACGTGTGCTACTATCACTTTCTTTTCTTGATGATATCCTTTGAAATGTTAAGTTCTTAATGAAATCCAATTCATGTGTTTTTATATGTATATGGTATATTATGACAAGAATTCTCTGCTAAATGCAAAGTCATTAAGATTTGGCACTATTTTCTTTAGCTTTTACATTAACTTTATTCTTTTGGCTGTGGCTCTTTGGTTATCTTGACACAATTTGTTGAAAAGATTATTTCTTCATTGAATGATCCTGGCATCCTTTTTGAAAATTAATTGACTTCTTTTTAACAGCAAATATATATTTAGTTTTATTATTTTGGTTGTTCTTTCCCAGAAAATTCTGTCCTTAAAAAGAAGATTTTTAAGTAGGCTTTTTAATGGATCTGTATATAAGTTTAGCATTGTATCTTACAGCATACATTTTGTACATGAAGTTATTTGGAAAGTTATGTTTCTGTTTTACTAAAGCCTCTCTAGTGCCAGGTTCTGCACTATCATAGAGCTTTCTTTTTCTTTTTTCTTTTCTTTTTTAAAGTATGTGCTCATCGTGGGGGAGGCAGAGACAGGAAGATCTCTGAATTTGAGGGCATCCTTGTCTACATAGAGTTTCAGACAAGCCAGAGCTTCATATTAAGACTCTATCTGAAAAGAACAAGCAAATAAATAATAAAAAGTATGTGACAGTTTGTTCTTTACAATGCTATTGGTTTGTAAGAAACTAGGGACAGAAAGTAGGAAGGGAGTAGAGTGACATGGGAAGCTGTGTTTTCTTTGTAGAGATGGAGTATATTTTGAATTTGAATGTATTATAGATTGCACGGCTATTTTGATTTAGTTTTCTTGTTTGTTTTTTGTTTGTTTGGTTTTTTTTTTTTTTAAAAAAAAAACTTGCCATTGGGTTTTTTTTAAACTTCTTTGTTTTTTTTTTTTTTTAATAATTTTTTTTCAAATCATAATTCATTCACACAGGGGTTATAAACACAGAAAGGCAGGATGTGGAGAAGGAGATGACACTGGAGCGTGGGTGTCCAGGGGGAATACAGATATCTTTCAGAACAGGGTATTGACTGGGTGAAGGTTCAGAGGACAGGTCACTATGACTCTGCCTATGATTCATTTGTCCTTATCTAAGTTAGTATTATCTGCCAAGGCTACCTATTTACAAGGTCTATGACTACTCAGGCTGGTAAATTTCCACAAAAGCTGCCTGCTTACAAAAGCTTATAGCCATCTGTTTCAATGTTTTTCCACAGAGACCCAAGACTTGGTGTTAGTATACATGTATGACAGGCTTATTGCTGATTTTAGGCCTATGGCTGATTTTAGACCTTCAGTGTGTAAGCAGGGCTGCCCCTGACATCTCCTCCCTTCTCTAAGTATAGAAGGGCTGTGGCGATTCTAATCTTGCGATGGTGGGGATAGAGGCCTGACCTCCAGTAATTGAAGGGGACCTTGTAATGGCTCCGGTACCCCTGTCGTTGTCCAGTGAGGCATGAGGGCCATACCCGTCCTGATGTCTTTTTCCTGGAGAGGGGATACTTTTGACATCAACCCCTATGCAGTCAGGCTTGTCCCTCAGGGAACCCAGAGAGATATTTTTAACTTTTATTTATATTCCCTTTGCAGTGCTTAGCCTCACAGCCTAAGCAAGAATTCAGATCTCCAGTCAGAGGGGGTTCTGGGTGGCCCCTCTCTGCTTGGTCTAGGGGCAGATGTCCCCTCTTTTAGGTTCAGTGGAGATGGTTTTTGGGAACACCCTGTATAAAGTAACAACCTCATCTTGAGTCTCGTGGTCCTCCATAGCTAACTTATGATAATGTATCTGAATAGGTTTTGCTACCAAATTATTTATCTGTTGTTTCACAGAGTTAGTCAGCCTATTTGAGGCCCAGGGACCAGCAGAAATAAGCAAAAATAACCCAAATAATGGTCCCAAGATCGGAGGAAGTAGGGTTGACAACCTTGGAGAGGCTGAAAACCAATTCTTGTACCAGCACTCAACTTTCTCTTTCTCTCTCTGACTTTTCTCAGGGCCTTCTCTGACCTTTTTCATGCTCTCTTTAACCATCCCTGTCTTGTCTATATAAAGGCAACCTTCTTCTTGAAGGGCTGTACACAGTCAAGAGCTGTACACAGCCTTTTCTATTGTAATAGAGGAAATCAAGTCCAATAAGGGTCTTTGTGATTTTTGGAAGTCTCTTCAGACAGTGAAACAAGGGATTTCTTCAGATTAGTGATGTCAGTCTCTAGCTGTTTGATGTTCTTGTCAATGGCCCTTCAATGGCCCTTCGAAGGTCTGAGTAGTATAAGTTCGGAGGCCAGCATCTGAATTAGGACTTCTTTTTTTTTTTTAAGATTTATTTTTTATTTTATTTATGAGTACACTGTAGCTGTCTTCAGACACACCAGAAGAAGGCATCCAATCTCATTACGGATGGTTGTGAGCCACCATGTGGTTGCTGGGATTTGAACTCAGGACCTCTGGAAGAACAGTCAGTGTTCTTAACCACTGAGCCATCTCTCCAGCCCGAATTAGGACTTCTAACAGCAGATATCACGGGTGATTCATTTTTACCTGAGATGCTGCCCAAGTTAAAGCTCCTGGGAGGCCCTCTTCCTCTGGGTTTTGTGAGGTTGAGTACAGACCTGCCGCCTGAGATCTCTTGGTTGTTTTTTTGTGTTGGTTGTTTTTTGGAGACAGGCTCTTAGATAGCACAGGCTATTCTTTTTTTTTTTTTTTTCCCAGATTTATTTATTTTATGTATGTGTTTACATGGTAGCTCTCTTCAGACACACCAGAAGAGGGCATTGAATCCCATTACAGATGGTTGTGAGCCACCCTGTGGTTGCTGGAAATTGGACTCAGGACCTCTGGAAGAGCAGTCAGTGCTCTTAACTGCTGAGCCATCTCTCCAGCCCCCAACACAAGCTATCCTTGAATTCACAATGTAGCTCAGGGTAACCTTCAATTCCCAGTTTTTCAGCCTCTACCTACCAAGTACTGGCATTATAGTTATAAGCCACAACACTTAGTTTATAGGACTTTGGGGATAGAACCCAGGGTTCATGCATGCTAGACAAGTACTGCATCAACTGAGCTCAATCCCTGGCTCTTTTTTGTTTTTCCTTTAAATTAAGTCTTTTCTTTACTCTGGGATTGAACCCAGGACCTTGAGTATAGTTAGCAAATGCTGTCTACTACTTATTCGCATCTGTAGTCCAAGCACTTTCTCAAGACCAAGATTAAAGATGTATTTTTATAAGTGTGTGTGTGTCTGTGTGTGTGTGTGTGTATACATGGTCTATGCGGGTAGGCTCAGGTACCCAAGAAAGCTATGAGAAGGCGTCTTATCTTTTGAAGCTGAAATTATAATGGGTTGTGATCTGCACAACATGAGTACTAACCAAGTACTGAACTCACATCCTCATCAAGAGCCTACTCTTAACACTGAACCATCTTTCTAAGCCCTAAGACCATACATCTTCAAACTATGTGAACTCACTAGGTCTCTGAATTAGATTATGAGTATCATGGATGTTGCTGAAAAGTAATGGAGACTCTTTGGTGGCCTTGTGCTATTTCTGTAAGCTCTGATAGTCTGTGTACATGGGGCCACTACATTCTTCGAGTTTTTTTTCTTTCATATATATTGAAGGATTTTTATCACTTTGAGCTTTTCTCACTAATAGGTCTTTCTCTCATACCATCACTTTGTATAACTGTCTGCTCCTTTCTCTTAGGAGTCTCAGCAGTCTAACTTTG